TTAAAGGTTAATACGACACTCTTCTCATTTGTTTAAAAATATTTGACAAATACTAAAATTTTATTTATATACAACGTGATTATCACGTGACGAACGAATGTAGGAGAGATTGGTAAAACGATTAATGAATGTTGGATATAAATGAATGTCGAGTCTTCACATTGTATCGGAAGGGGTTAAGACATCCGTCGCGCAAGAAACGAAACGAGAGGAAGAGAATCGCGAAGAAGAAGCGCGCGGACATTTCGGAGTTGCGAGAGACCAGCAAGGCCGACCGTGTATTTTTAACTTGAGAAGCTTCCGGCAACCCTGGCCGGGATCAATACCTCCGGCCACCCCGTCGTCGTGTACTACTGTTGGAGGCAGAAAGGGTGCACCGGGGTTAACCTACATATCCAGCTCCGACAGCCGGAGCGGCGAACAAAAACATTTTTCTTTCGGATCAACCCGCGGCTGTGACGCCCAGAGACTCGGAGGTGTTCCGACCACGGATTTTTCATTCTTACAGATTTCCGTTTCGCGGGAGCTTTCGAGAAGAAATTGTGTTACTGCTAGAACGAGATGTAATTACCTTTTATGGAGCGAATTTCGAGAGCTGAATTCAATTCAATTCAATTGGATTTAATTTAATTGAGTGAAATTGAAATTCGTTAATAAGGGTTGCATTAAAATATCAAAATGTAGAATTTAATTTTCCAGTTTTGTAGTAACGTAAACATTTACTGAGAACTTCCAGTATCTATCGTATATTAGTAAAATAACGTGCTTTTTGAAACTGAGAATTTACTGAATTTGATTTGAGTTTCTCGCGAGTTCCGACGTTCAAGAAATGGAAAGGTTTTATTTTCATATAGATATGTAATTTTATTTTATTTATTACCTATTACATTATCATGTATTCTAAAATACCGAGACTGAACTTCTATCCCACGTGTTTAAATGTTTAATTAACAATCATACCGCACGAGCACAACGAGTTTCCTTTCGACCCTTGCGAATTGAATGTACCTCATTAATTCTGAATTGGTATCGCTCCGTTCGATATCCTCGCGTGCCCGATCTTACGCTCAAACGGATTAATTTAGAATCACGGAAGATCGAGGGAAAACGGGAAAAGCGAAAGGGGGATGAAAATTTTGTTCCATGCATCCAACGGATATTACGAACTTTGTTCGGTGAAAGTTTGCGTTGAATTACAGGGGATGAAGGGTTGTTCAGATGATCTTCATGGTTTATTTACTAGCGGGGCGATGGAACTTTATTAATTTTATGTTGCTCACGCGTCAGCCTGTCTTCAGAACGAGTTACTCTCGACGCGATAGGAAATGCTGTTCGATGGAAGAAAGTTTACCCTAAAGCGCTCATGCGCACAGAAACCACGATCATAGAAGTTATACACCCCTTATCATGAAAAACATGATTGATCCAATTATATAAAATCATTTCTTACAGATAATAGTATTCAAACTAAAACTTCAATTCGGCGTATAGAAAAATACCTACAGAAAAAAACATGCAAACTGCCGAACGCAATAAATTTTACTGTACTTACGATTTACACAATTTTGTACTTCAACACTGGATTAATGTTATATATAAGTAAACACGAATATCCACACGATCGGTCCACCATACGTTAAAGTATACATTTCTTCAAACTTCCTTTACAAACTTACATTGCGTTCGATGAAGCGTCGCAACCATCTGTCGCGCGGAAGCGTGCGCAAATTGCCCCATTATTCTCCAATCTAAGCCCCAAGCGCCGCGAATTTCCTCGAGCCGGGAATTAAAATACTGTCCTCTCTTTATTCGCCGATACCGGTGACCGGAGTCGGAAAAACATTTTTTTCCACACGCAAGACCGCAAGCTCGGGGTGCGAACGAGCCGCGGAGCGGCCGTAGAGGTATTCAGCAGTCGCGTAATTGAAAAATACCCGTGGCCGCGTTGGCCGCCACAATATTTGGTCCCGGCGGGGGGATGAAAGTCGAGCGGCGAGAAACGAGAAAGAGAAAAAGGGGAACGAACGAGA